TTTTGATGAAGTTGTATTGTATCTCGTAAGCCCAATGTGACCGGAATTTAGCCAGGTTTTTTTTTACATTATTTTATCATTAATGCACTTTTATTAATTGCTGAGCAATAAGTGACACTAGTATTAAATACATTTGTTTCGTTATTTTAACACTGTTCATTTTAAATATGTAAAACGTAAGAAAAAATCTAATTCAATGACCATGTTGAATTATAATGAGGATCTGATAAACCAATATAGTACTATAAGTATATTGTCAAACAAAAAAATAAAGTTATGTTTGAAGTACAATTAAAACAAGACTTTTATTATCTCGGTGACTACTTTTTCAAAATGGCAAATTGCTCAGCTTTTGTTGTAAGAATCACGTTTTTGAAATATCATTCTGTAAATCATTTGTACTATGGAATGACTCATATGGTAACTTACTTTTTCAATTCTTTTGTTGCTTTTGAAATAAAGAGTGAACACATTCATTACAATTTTTGCAAGGTTAGGAACAAAATTAACATTCTTCAAATTGATATCGTTCTTCGATATCGGAACTTCCCATAAACAATCTGATCAAAAGACGAGTCACAAATGTCATTAGAAAAACATTATTAAAATTCTTTACTCGTTAAGAAATTACGTGTACATAATATGAATGAACGGGTAGAATTGTCGGTTTCTATAAGTAACAATTATTTCACAAGGTAATAATATATTCACAGGTAAACTTGGCCACTAATTGGCTTACACTTAAGCCCCCTCACCCATTCACATAAAAACTGTAATTGAAAAAAATAAACAAACCAAAAGACGTATTTATCAGACTGTCACTTTTTTCATAAGAGATTTAACATAACACTTTTTATTCCGCAGTTTTCAGTGCTTATACCAAACGCTCATAAGATGTAAGGGAGATAACCGCAAAATAATTTATTGCTTGGTTTGTGTTGCATTTCAAGAGTCCAGCGTGTGGAACGTCATATGCAGTTTTTGCTATGTATAACACGGATTGGCGGTTTCGACGCGAAGACAAATCGATAAGGGTCAATAAAATCGAAAAATATTTTTTTCGAATTGTTAGTACCGAATTCAGTAACCCACAGTTCATCATGTTTAATAATGTAAACGAGAAGTCTTACTCCCATTTTGATGTATAAATAGTGTTCCCCCTGTAGACATAGTTTAATTTGAAGCAAACATAGCTTTAAAACCAAGATGTTTTGACTGGGAAGATGAGAATAGGGCTCATAATATAACATTCATTCATTTCTATAGAAATATACGAACTAGGGTCCCTGAAAATCAGTTTTTATTCAGAAAATTGCATCAGGTTGACAATTATAACTAAAGATAAGTGTAAACGGAGCACTAGGTTCGTCTGCTTTAGATTGAAGGAGATTGATAATAACTGAAGAGAAATGTTAAGCACAAGAGTCGTCTGATTTTGATTGATAGAGATTGGTAATAACTGAAGAGAAGTGTAAACGGAGGACTAGGGTCGTCTGCTTTTGATTGAGGGAAATTGATAGTAACTGAAGAGAAGTGTAAACGGAGCACTAGGGTCGTCTGCTTTTGATTGAGGGAAATTGATAGTAACTGAAGAGAAGTGTAAACGGAGCACTAGGGTTGTCTGCTTTTGATTGAGAAAGATTGGTAATAACTGAAGAGAAGTGTAAACGGGGAACTAGGGTCGTCTGCTTTTGATTGAGGGAGATTGATAATAACTGAAGAGAAGTGTAAACGGAGTACTAAGGTCGACTGCTTTTGATTCAGGGAGATTGGTAATAACTGAAGAGAAGTGTAAACGGGGCACTAGGGTCGTTTGCTTTTGATTTAGGGAGATTGGTAATAACTGAGGAGAAGTGTAAACGGAGTACTAGGGTCGTCTGCTTTTGATTGAAGGAGATTGATAGTAACTGAAGAGAATTGTAAACGGATCACAAGGGTCGTCAGCTTTTGATTGAGAGAGATTTGATAATAACTGAAGAGAAGTGTAAACAGAGTACTAGGGTCGTCTGCTTTTGATTTACGGAGATTGATAATAACTGAAGAGAAGTGTAAACGGAGCTGTTGGGTCGTCTGCTTTTGATTGAGGGAGATTGATAATAACTGAAGAGAAGTGTAAACGGAGCACTAGGGTCGTCTGCTTTTGATTGAGGGAGATTGATAGTAACTGAAGAGAAATGTAAACGGAGCACTAGGGTCGTCTGCTTTTGATTGAGGGAGATTGATAATAACTGAAGAGAAGTGTAAACGGAGCACTAGGGTCGTCTGCTTTTGATTGAGGGAGATTGATAGTAGATGAGGAGAAGTGTAAACGGAGCACTAGGGTCGTTTGCTTTTGATTGAGAAAGATTGGTAATAACTGAAGAGAAGTGTAAACGGAGCACTAAGGTCGTTTGCTTTTAGATTTAGGGATATTAATGGTTACTTAAGAGAAGTGTATACGGAACACAAGGGTCGTCTGCTTTTGAATGAGGGAGATTGATAATAACAGAAGGGAAGTGTAAACGGAGCACTAGAGTCGTCTGCTTTTGATTGAGGGAGATTGGTAATAACTGAAGAGAAGTGTAAATGGGGCACTAGGGTCGTCTGCTTTTGATTGAGGGAGATTGATAATAACTGAAGAGAAGTGTAAACGGGGCACTAGGGTCGTTTGCTTTTAGATTTAGGGATATTGATGGTTACTTAAGAGAAGTGTATACGGAACACAAGGGTCGATGTTTTGGATGAGGGAGATTGATAATAACAGAAGGGAAGTGTAAACGGAGCACTAGAGTCGTCTGCTTTTGATTGAGGGAGATTGATAGTAACTGAGGAGAAGTGTAAACGGAGCACTAGGATCGTCTGCTTTTGATTCAGGAAGATTGGTAATAACTGAAGAGAAGTGTATACGGAGCACTAGGGTCGTCTGCTTTTGATTGAGGGAGATTGATAGTAACTGAGGAGAAGTGTAAACGGAGCACTAGGGTCGTTTGCTTTTGATTGAGAAAGATTGGTAATAACTGAAGAGAAGTGTAAACGGAGCACTAAGGTCGTTTGCTTTTAGATTTAGGGATATTGATGGTTACTTAAGAGAAGTGTATACGGAACACAAGGGTCGTCTGCTTTTGAATGAGGGAGATTGATAATAACAGAAGGGAAGTGTAAACGGAGAACTAGAGTCGTCTGCTTTTGATTGAGGGAGATTGGTAATAACTGAAGAGAAGTGTAAACGGGGCACTAGGGTCGTCTGCTTTTGATTGAGGGAGATTGATAATAACTGAAGAGAAGTGTAAACGGGGAACTAGGGTCGTCTGCTTTGATTGAGGGAGGTTGATAATTGGTCGGTATCTTCCGTGCAGTATAGGATTCGGCACAAATAATTCTCAAAAAAGAAAATTCTTCACTTTTTTTCCTCAATCATTTTTTCTTCGCTTTGAAGTGGCAAACATATCCTGCATGTTGCTTGTACACGGTGGTTTAACGTGAATATATAATCATCGATTTTTGTTCTCATAATTATGATTGATTGATTGTTTCTTGCTTAACGTCCAGTGACGAATGATTCATGTAGTTTTAGGACGAGATATCAACACAATGTATACACTTGATAGGTTCTGTAAGGTACATGTAGGACAACTGGGATGAAGGGTTGAAAAATTGAACAGCCATTGAAAAAATTATAGTTTGTTGAAAAGAGACAGAAATTTTGTCTTGCAACAGGCCACCTACTGACCCCTTAAAGTTTTGATGCAAGGTTTCTGTAATGGTCAGAGAGCGTGACACTCTTCTTTAATGTTCAGAGAGCGTGGTACTCTCCGGCCATTCACAAGACATCAGATTATATTACCTATTCCAACCGGATGTGTCAGCTGCGGATTTATACATCCCGCAAAGTCAAATAGAGACTATTTAGTAATGGTTTTACTGCCGGACTGTAGAATTCCAGGGATGACAACATTCTTATACCCAAGTCAACCATTGGGGGTAACATATAGCTACGAAATTAAAAAAAACATATAAGCAATGAACGTGTATTAAATCTCAAAACATCGATCAAATGAACATCTTTTCATCTTTTAAATTATTTTCAGCACTTCTGTTTGCTGGAGATGGTAGGCATATAGACTTATCTAGTACCTTGTTTAATATTTTTCTAAAAGTTGGGTGCACAAATGAACAAAACAATCATTTTAATTGATTAAGATGTCGATAAGAAAATTAAACAAATCGCTTGCTAATGCCAATATATGTACATGAAAAGATTTTTTTATACAATTCATAAAGGGGATTTTTTCACACAGGAGGAAACCTATGTTTGAAAGAACCATTAGATTTATCATGCAAATAGTACCATTAATGACATCAAATATTAAAATGTAGAAAACATCGTCTGATTTGTGTGCTTCTCGAGAACGAGACTCGAGCTCTCATCTATAAATATTGTACCAAACGTAATAAAAATAGATATATAAGTTTGACACTGAATATAATTATACGATTAATTGTTAATGAACGTTATAATAACACAAACATAAAAAATATAAATTTATTGAAAATAAGGTAGATGGGTCAGTCCATTTATCTGGGCAAATCGCTGGAATAGACGTATATAGAAGAAGATTGTTGTACTGAGATGTGTCGTTCATCCTGTCACAGTACTAACCCAAATAATTCGGTCGTTATATTCCACTCACTACGATTGCCACCTTTGAAGGACACTGATTGCAATAATTATATAAGTAATCAGAGCACTGTGAGCGGTATCAGACGAATCTAACAACTAGTAGTAGGGACAGTAAATTAGAGTTATCTCTCTTATGGCGACAAATTATTATTTTTCAATGAATACATGACTGAAAATGGTTTGATGAGTGATTTGTGCAAAACTGGTTATGATGTAGTGGATAAACCAAAAGATGATTTCAAAATAAGGATTGATATATGATGTATTTCAATATATACACAACAACATGTACACCTGTCTATAGAGAACTACTAAAAGGGTGGTTAACATGTTGACTTACCTCGTATATTATGAGTACACTCTGAATAATGTAAATTTGATATCGTTCTATTTTCTACACAACTTTCCCACATTCCTTCATAGATATCGACTGAAATGAAAGAAATATATTTAAAATGAAAGTACTGAAAGTGGCGTTAAAATGGGTATTTATAGATTGGTATGAGATGGCGTTGTAGTGAATTCTTAGGTGTTCGTGTTGCTCAGTCAGCTTTTTTCTATATTGTGTTTTGTGTGCTGTTTGTCTGTTCGTGGTTCTTCTTTTTTTGCCATAGCATTGTCAGTTTGATTTCGACTTATGCATTTAAATATCACTTTGGTATCTTTCGCCTCTCTTTTAGTTAGATACTTAGCAAATTCACTATAGGTTATCGCATACAAAAGTGGGTATGTTATACGTATAAGAAGAAATGTTACGTTGCTTCCTAAGAATTCTCTGTCAATGTAAATGATGTACTACAAATCTAAAAATTAAAAATATTTATTGAAGAATCAATTATTTTTGAAAATTGTCTTTTACGATAATCCTGAATGATGAAGAGGAAGCCGGAGTACCCGGTGAGAATCATCAATTACGATAGGAGTAAAAAGCACCTAGCCACGAGCAGGATTCGCACTCACAACCTCAGTATTGACACCCTAGTGATCAGAGTAGATGGATTACTTAGATCATTCGGTCACGGAGGTCCCCTCATCCTAAATGCCTTCGATGCTGTTCGGAATTTTAATATTTTCATGACTATCATATTAAATGCCTTTGCAGATGAATGGTGTCATATTTTGAATTTTTCCTTAATATTTTGTAGCCCCAAGTTTTTTTCGCTGAAATGCCTAAACAAAACTTGGCCCATTAACATCTATATTTTCAATTTTATTTCTATTTTTGTAGCCCCAAGTTTTTTTCGCTGAAATGCCTAAACAAAACTTGGCCCGTTAACATCTATATTTCTCAATTTTATTTCTATTTTTGTAGCCCCAAGTGTTTTTCGCTGAAATGCCTAAACAAAACTTGGCCCATTAACATCTATATTTCTCAATTTTATTTCTATTTTTGTAGCCCCAAGTTTTTTTTTCGCTAAAATGCCTAAACAAAACTTGGCCCATTAACATCTATATTTCTCAATTTTATTTCTATTTTTGTAGCCCCAAGTTTTTTTTTCGCTGAAATGCCTAAACAAAACTTGGCCCATTAACATCTATATTTCTCAATTTTATTTCTATTTTTGTAGCCCCAAGTTTTTTTTCTCGCTAAAATGCCTAAACAAAACTTGGCCCATTAACATCTATATTTCTCAATTTTATTTCTATTTTTGTAGCCCCAAGTTTTTTTCTCTCGCTAAAATGCCTAAACAAAACTTGGCCCATTAACATCTATATTTCTCAATTTTATTTCTATTTTTGTACCCCCAAGTTTTTTTTTGCTAAAATGCCTAAACAAAACTTGGCCCATTAACATCTATATTTCTCAATTTTATTTCTATTTTTGTAGCCCCAAGTGTTTTTCGCTGAAATGCCTAAACAAAACTTGGCCCATTAACATCTATATTTCTCAATTTTATTTCTATTTTTGTAGCCCCAAGTTTTTTTCGCTGAAATGCCTAAACAAAACTTGGCCTATTAACATCTATATTTCTCAATTTTATTTCTATTTTTGTAGCATCAAGTGTTTTTCGCTGAAATGCCTAAACAAAACTTGGCCCATTAACATCTATATTTCTCAATTTTATTTCTATTTTTGTAGCCCCAAGTTTTTTTTCCGCTAAAATGCCTAAACAAAACTTGGCCCATTAACATCTATATTTCTCAATTTTATTTCTATTTTTGTAGCCCCAAGTTTTTTTTTCGCTGAAATGCCTAAACAAAACTTGGCCCATTAACATCTATATTTCTCAATTTTATTTCTATTTTTGTAGCCCCAAGTTTTTTTTCTCGCTAAAATGCCTAAACAAAACTTGGCCCATTAACATCTATATTTCTCAATTTTATTTCTATTTTTGTAGCCCCAAGTTTTTTTTCTCGCTAAAATGCCTAAACAAAACTTGGCCCATTAACATCTATATTTCTCAATTTTATTTCTATTTTTGTACCCCCAAGTTTTTTTTTGCTAAAATGCCTAAACAAAACTTGGCCCATTAACATCTATATTTCTCAATTTTATTTCTATTTTTGTAGCCCCAAGTGTTTTTCGCTGAAATGCCTAAACAAAACTTGGCCCATTAACATCTATATTTCTCAATTTTATTTCTATTTTTGTAGCCCCAAGTTTTTTTCGCTGAAATGCCTAAACAAAACTTGGCCTATTAACATCTATATTTCTCAATTTTATTTCTATTTTTGTAGCATCAAGTTTTTTTCGCTGAAATGCCTAAACCAAACTTGGCCCATTAACATCTATATTTCTTAATTTTATTTCTATTTTTGTAGCTCCAAGTTTTTTTTCGCTGAAATGCCTAAACCAAACTTGGCCCATTAACATCTATATTTCTCAATTTTATTTCTATTTTGTAGCCCCGAGGTTTTTTTTCGCTGAAATGCATGAAAGTAACAATCAGCAACTATATTTCTCAATTTTCTTTGAAAAACATCTCAAATTAACTTCTGACAAAATATTTTATGAATTTTGTCGTTTTCATACAGTTTAATCCCCACATCTCCTCATACTTTTATACAAAACTCAAGAGATCGAAATTACTTGTTTTTCATATTTTTGTCCTAACTAATTCGAAAGTGTTCTACATTCTCTATTTTAAAAGACTTCATGTCCTTATTTTTACTTAGAGATCCTAGCCTATTTAGAGCTATTCTAAACTAAACTTAACCCTTACCCTAACCCTGAACCTAACTTTGAATCTAACCCTAACCCTTACACTAGCTATAAGCCTATTCTAGAACTAGACCTAAATATAACAAGAAATGTTTACCGCTTTCATACTATAGAAAGATTTATTTGGCCGTTGGCATTTTGATTCTGAAATAATTCTTTCATTTGACGAAATATCATTAGTTTCATAAAAGAAATAAAATGCGACACATTTTGTAGAATTGGCGTTTAATCATCGTGAATTAATCATCTGAATCTTCCCTGAAACTGTGCAATTTTAGGAAATGATGATAAAACATTTCTGTCGGAAGTTAATGTCGCTTTTAGAGTGGTATATGCAATTTATGTCTCAGCTGAGACTATTCAGATCACCAAGCAACAATAAAATTGTTATCACGGAGTCGACAATGAATTATACGTAGATTCTTTATTAGTAGTAATCTGATATATAAATGAACAAGTAATACTATATCAATGGTACCTATTGGTTCCGCCTCGGTTCCGCTAACCTGATTTTCACACTTATCGTGCGTATGTGTGAATATTCGTACAAATGAACAAATATTCCTGTGTCAAGTGTACTTCTTGTTTCCGCTAACCTGATTGGTATACTTAGCGTGCGAATGTGCGAATGTAACAAGGTCGGGATGAGGTTTATAGAATGGGGAATAATAAGCAAAAACATTTAGAATTCCGAGAAAAAAAACAGAGAAAATCGACAAAAAAAAAGAATAGAAACAATTAGACCAAAAGATAAAGAATAGAACATAACGATGTTCTGAAATATAAAGAACAGAATGATGGGCAAAATACATGAAGAAGAAAAGAATTGTTTCAATAATTAAAACATAAAGAAATAATGGATCCCCTATCAATGCAGACCCATATATAATAGAATTGAGAATGGAAACGAGGAATGTGTCAAAGAGACAACAACCCGACCAAAGAGCAGTAAACAGCCCAAGGTCACAAATGGGTCTTCAATAATAGAAGTATTATTTTACTGCAATGTAATCAGACTGTAGGATACCTGACAAAAAAATGGCGGGAGGAACTTTCCGGTATTGCATCAAATACAATCTAATTAAATGGTATTGGCTTAAAATCAGTCCCCTTAATATAGTGTTCAAAAATAGTTCTTATTAATGTGTATGTTTCCATTATGCAAAAATAAAAGTGAAGGTTAGTCAGAAATAAACAAAACTACATTTAAAACTCAATTTTGCATAAATATTAATGACCCAAAAGCATTCAATAGTAGAGAATGACGTCTACAACGTATTGTATTTTTTCTATGACGTTAGTTTTGTTATATCCTAAAATGATGAGTTTAAAATTTAATATGCAAATTAAATTATATTTTTAAAACATTTTTTTACAATTGCTTTTGGCAAAGTCTTTATACAAGTATACCAATCATTTATAGTTATCACTCTTGAGCACTAAAATGAAATAAAAGGAATCAAATTATGAAATGAAATGTTAAATGATTAAAATATTCCGTTCACAGTCTGTACGAAACAACATTATTAAAGATACAAAAAAGGTATTAAAAAAAAACAATAGCAAAGTGTGATTTCTAACATTTCATTAAAGATGTCAACACATAGTAAAGTAAATATTTGAATTGTTACTTTATATGATTTATTCATTGTGTACAGTATTGTTTTTAATAACGACCGACATCCTTGTAAGAAAGATCGTTGACTATTATGAAATTTTAAATATATATATATATATATATATATATTCTACCACTGTATCGAGGGTGAAACGCTTTTCTCCATTCGAGACAGTTAAAATTTCAAATTAAAAAAACCAGGCTTGCATTTTAAATATTATTTTAAATTTTAACTGCCAATGAGTCGAATCTTAATCCCCTATTGTAGGGTTGGTAGTATATTTATGCTGTTACAGAGGCAATTCATGATCAGTTACTTCAAAGTAGTAGACTTTGGTCGACTGAGGCTTCCATTTGTTCTGAACAGATATATTACAGAATGCGAACTATCACGTGATGTTGCATGTCGTGAGCAACATAGGAGGTGCCTCTAGGGGAACAATGATTACTTACCTTTCTAAATGATTTATCTTTATTCTCATAAACCATAAATATAGTTACAGAGAAGATAATATTACAATGATAACAAATATTATAGACATGGCAAATTTGTAAAGCAAATGATTGTTATTTAATATAGTAATACATATTTGGACAACAGATAAATAAAATATATAGTTGTTTTAACCAGGAGGATGGATTTTCAAAGAAATAGATTTGATAAATCTACAGAGAGAAACAAATTTGATAAATCTATAGAGTTTAATAACATTAACGGTCTCAATTTTACCGCACCAAATGCGAATATCGACATTTAATGTCTCTCAAGTCATGCTAGAGGCCATACTTTTAGAAAATCTAAAACCTAATTGTGACAAACGTTGAGGAGCAGATTTAAAAAATAATTATAAAAAGCATCACCAAATACGGACAAGCAATCAGAGCTTAACATGAGGGAGATTCCTTAGATTAAAATATGTTTTTTTCAGTTTTACAGTAGCAAATTCAAATAATCCAATATCCGTATTTAATGCCATACCGAAGTACTCAGCTACAAGGCTGGTTATAACCCCGGGGACTAATATTTCACCACTGACCAGAAGAAGTATCGGCCCTTTTGTAGTAGCATTATCAATACCAAATTTACTGCCACATGTGTAATTAATGTCTCTCTAAAGATGCCCGAGGCAAATAATATTTGAAAATCCCAAAAATATATATATAAGATGACAATTATATCGTATTTTATTCTGCGTTGGTCAAAGCAGAAATCGACGGTCAGTGAATATAGGCTTGTTTCTTGTTTGGTTATGTCGCAATTTGTCATAAAAAGTTTGTAAAGATTAAAACATAGAAAATTGTCATTCATCATTTTAAACAGATAAAATGTCAAAAGCACCATTAAATCGATGATGTGTTTTCCTGACTTATATCGAAAGAATCCTTACAGCATTTTCAATAATTAAAGAGTTAGTGTGAATAAACACTGGAAATATTCCGCTCTATGCTCAAGGGAATACCAGTATCGACAGGAAGAAGATGCTTTCTTAACAAAATGAAATTTGTTGCATGCAAAATTATCCAAATATTATCACCAACATACAATGTCATTCTAATGAAGTTAATATGAATGTTTTTATCTTAAAACAGAATGGCTTATGTGCCAAACATTGCTTTGTATGTTTAACCAATCAAAGGCGGATATAAGGGGGGATGGGACCCAGGCACCCCTTATTGGGCTACATATATGATAAATGCATAGACTTTTTACATGTAACACTCCAAACGTTTGCTTTTTAGGCCCCCTCATTGTTAATAGTATAAGTTTGACCACAGTCAATCAAAACTGTGTTCACGTGACGTGAGTAGGCGGAGCAAAGTCCTATTGTTGTATGCATTATCAAATCGCTTTCTGAAACGAATTATCTCGGTATACTCTAAAGTAAAAATTTTACAATTATCATCTGTAAGAATATGGGTATTTTGAGATTATTATGATACGGGTTCGGTTAATAGTTGACGACATAGAAATAAGAAGATATGGTATAACTATCAATGAGAGATCATCCACCAAATGAGGTAGATGAAAGCAACTATACGTCACCGTACGGCCTTCAACAATGAGAAAAACCAATATCGTATGGTAAGCTATAAAAGGCCCCGGCGTGATAAAATGTAATACAATTCATCAAGAAAAATGAACTAATGTTCGAAACAATAAACGTAAAACATAAATGATAGACAGCAACCAACGAAAACCGCAGATTTATTTTGGCACAACTTTTCGGATTGTCTGTTTTTAATGTTTCTTCGTGTTTGATTTAGCATTACAACTGTTTTGATCCAACCCCCACTTATGAGTCTAGTGTTAGCGAAACGCTTGTCTGGCGTACCAAATTGTAAGCCTGGTATCTTTAATAAGTTTTTTACAACCACTGGGTCAATGCCACTAGTGGTGGACGTTTCGTCCCCGAAGGTATCACCAGCCTGGTAGTCAGCTCTTTTGTGTTGACATAATATATCAATGATTATGTTCATTTCTTGTAAACTGACTGTTTTTAAAATGATGAACTATATGAAACACAAAGGTTTTCTACTCTCAGACATAGATTGGATTAGCCGCATTTAACATAAATTTTCGGATATTTAGTTCTCAATGCTCTTCAAGTTTGCTTTTTGATTTGGTCTTACAACTATTGTGATTCAAGTTCCCCTGATGAGTTTTAGTTTTGAAGACGAAATGAGCGTCATTTGTTCATCATTTTAAGTCTTTTATCTTTGATGCTTTTACATATTTTCGACTTGGGACAGACACATACAGAACGTGGCGGGGTTAAACATGTCTAAACAGGTAGCTCCTTATTGGAATGAGAACACAGATGTGCGGTTAGAATTAGAGTTTAGAAAACCTTAACAAAGGTTTCAACTCACTCATGCAAAGTTGACCTTAGATGGATTTGGCTATTATTTTTAGGATAATTTTGGTCATATATAGCTCTTGAACTGATTCGGTTATATATCCTTGGCTTTGAGCGTTTCCGATGAAGATAAATCCAGAAAAGCGCTTCGGACGCAATTATAAAATTTGTAAATTGTTGTTTTTTAACAAGTACAGGGCCAGAATGGGGATGAATTCTAATATTAGAAACTGTTAATTTGGTATAAAAAGTTCATCAAAAGGTGTATTGTTTTAGTTATTTGAAAATAATGAAAAGAACTGTAGTGTCTTCTACACGAAATACAGATATAAAACCCACAACGATATAATAATATGCATTTTGAAAATGACACAAATATCAGACCAGAGTTATGACGCCAGTATATATAGTAAACAACAAACCGTAAACTTTGAATAAATTCCATTTTACTTGATGGATTCATTATGTTGATGA